GGTTAATTTTATCATGCTAATAAAAGTTGCAAAAAAACAACAGGATCAGGTGCAAGAAAAATGTACATAATCATATAAGACTTGATACAATTGCGTGTGGCCGCACGTAAATTAAGATATAATTATTTAATCGAATTATATATTCGTATGTATAAATTAAGTTCTCACGCCTTGTTCACGTTGCCAACTAAACGATATCACGTTCCTGAGGCATGCTATTAAGACAGATATCACAAGCTATCACATTGTTTGATAAACAAAACAATATATAAGAATACTTTATTTGCATATTATTGTGCAATAATAGGACGTTTGACAAAAATAAAAAGATTTTTTGTAATCCTTTTAATTTCTTCCATTTTCAATAAGACAATTTATCAATAGGAAATTTTACTTGATTTTTTAAAATCTTGTTTTATAATCTTATTTTTTCAATATTTTTTGTTGTAAATAATAATAAAAACTGTGTGTTAAATCTTAATTAAAATCCTAGTATATTTATTGTCTTATCTGAGTCTAGTTCTTATTTAACATTTTTAGTACGTAACGGTTTCACTACAATTATAAAACAATTCTAAAATTTTTTTATAATTGTGTCTGTAAAAACGTTTTTGTAACATGTATACTTTAATTCTGATAATGATTATATATCTTTCCATTTATCCTGCAAAACATTCCCTACAATGAACAAGATTTGTTCATTTTCGAATTGGCGCCTTCGAATCGCTATAAAATTTAATCAACGCATTCTTTGGCGATGTTACACCAAATTGATCTTCTTTGTTGCATAATGTGATGTAATAAATATGTATAAAAAATATTCTTTATCTTTTCAAACAGTGTCGATATACTAAATTAATACTCGAATGCAAGCGTGAATTTAAAAAAAGATTATCAACAGTTGCAACGGATAATTTTAAAGTATTATGCATTTTTTTTATACATATATAGTTAAGAATATACGATGAAGATATCACTCATCTGTATACATGTCACAGCATTACCAAGATGAACTTTTCTGTAATAGGATTTAGTAATAAAAACTTTAATTCTCTTCTCAAACATAACATATCGCAGAAAGAATGGAAAAGAACTCGAGAGGATTCGATATTTCTATTGAGTTAAGTGAACGTGAGTTCATAATGGGGATGACAATCTCATCCGACAATCGCATCATAAGAACAATCGCGATATCCAGGCGGAATACTTTAAATGGAACATACTATCGCGATGTGTCATTCGTAAACTTGTAAAAGAAACGGGATATTTTGGATTCGGGTTAACAAAAATGTCTACTCAAAAGAAGGTCTATTACGATTTCGTCTTAGATTTTACAATAAAATCTGGAAAGGTGAATATGATACTATCATCCTGTAATTTACTAAGATATTGACTTGACTCTTTGAAGTTATATATCTGCTACTGACAATCGTTTTGCAAAGAAAAAATCGAAATTAAAAATAGAGCAGAATGAAATAATGATAAGCATAAAGCACTATTAATTTATTGCATTTTTTCCTAAAAAGTGATAATAAAAGTCCAAAGAAAATTGATGAGATATTAAAATATAAAAATAAATATTATTTTTCAATAAAAATGTTTTTTAATTTATTTTTCGTTACATATAAAACGTCTATTTATAGAGATGTTTTATACTTACAGCCAAGGCTGTATATTCTATAATTGCGTATGATTGGAAAGATTATCGATTGCCAGACATGACAGATTGTCTTTAATGTAACTTCGCTGATTAAAATTCATTATACTCCAAAGCGCAATAAAATTAGTCAGATATGTTATTTCTAAAGATTCATTTCACAAGTTGTTAAACAAATTATAATTGATGAATTGTATATTTAGAAAACAGCCAATATCATTACTTCACTTCTACTATTTTTACATAAACGTTAAAACATGTGCAATATTATTTTCAGGTAATTCGTGATGCTTTTCATGGATCTGAAAGTATTGAAACAAAAACTGGAGATTGTATAGGATTTAGTGACGCAATACAATAAAAAAATCAAAGCAATTTTAATGGATAATTTAGCAAAAAAATTTCCTACATATAGATTACTAAATTTTTTAATTTGATGAAATTGAATATATTATATTAATGTTTGTGTACATATCATAATAATAAATCATAATTATATACAAATAAATTATTATTTCATGAATTACTATTCATGTAATATTATCTTTTTATACAAAATTTTAGAATGTTTGTTAGATTTATTGGTGAAGAAACAGTATCACGTTCCAATTATCTGCCAGAATTTACGAATGCAATTACATGGATTATTGATCTCATTGATGGAACAACGAACTTTGTACATTCTTTTCCATAAACTTGTATATCAATTGCATTGGCTGTGAATAAGAAATTCGAGATTAGAATAATTTATAATCCCGTTTTAGAACACTTATTTACAATTAAAAAAGGATATGGAACGTATTTCAATGAAAAACTGATTAAGAGCTCAAGTTCAATAGAAGTATTATTTTTTATCTTTCATTAATCATTTCCATTCTTTTTTTCTTTCGTTTTGAAATTCTTTATAACAAAGACAAAATGTCCACATTCTCTACCAAATAAGCGTGCATATGCCTGTATACGTATCAGTAAGTATATGTTTTCTTAACTTTAATTTTCATATCTAATATATTAATAGTTTTTATTTTTATTTTATTTTTTATTATACTTCTTGACTTTTCACAAAATAAATCTATACGTATGACAAACATAACGATAATAATAATATTTTACTTTTCCCAGGACTTCAAACATTCCTCTCTATGTTTGAAAACTTTATACGCGACTATTAAGAATATTCACGATATCATTTTAAGAAGATTAAAAGTTTTCGTTTCGATAGTACATGGAATAAGGACTATGGGTTCAGCAGCGTTGACTCTGTATCATGTTGCCATGGAAGCTGTGGAAGGATATCATTGTGGCAACTTAATATCTTGGATGCCGCTGCAGGTGTATTTATAATTAAAGAGGCTGGCGGTATAATGATCGATACAAATAGTATAACATTAAGTATATCTTCGATTATTTCTCTCATAGTGATCAAAGTATAATGATATGATTATTTTAGAATTAAAAAAACATTTTATTTAAATCATTTCTTGCTCTTACTAGATGGAAAATTCAACGTTATTTCATCAAAGCTACTAGCTGTAACTGCAAGCTGGCAAAAGAACTCGTAAAGTTAATAAAACATAAAACATGCGGATCTTAAAACTCATCAGAGAATGCTGTTATTACAGAGTGCAAAATAACGTTCTTATACGAATCGAAAACAAAAACTTAAAATAACAATAATTTTTAGAGACGATACACATTCCTCTTAAATATTATTTAAAATAATTAAAAAAGCTAGCGTCACGTCCTTATTAAAATGATATGTCTCGAGTAAGCATAATTTATAATTATATGTTTATAATTTTAATAAATATGTTTATAATTTTAAAATAGCTAATTTTATTATTTACGAATAGCTAATTATGATGATAGAACAAACGCGTTCAATTATTTATTATTTGTTTGTTAAACAAAGTGTACAACACATTCAATCATGAGATATTGAAAATCGCTATGACGCGATAAGTACAATGTATAACAAATCAGTGTACTGAACGAGTAAAGATCATGCATGGAATTAATAACGCTAATTGCAGAAGGGCATGCTAGGCCAGCTCAAAGGAGCTACTTTGCAGTTTGAGAGAACAGCGAGCCTGACCAAGCCTACTGGCGAACGTTGAAAGTGTATTATAAAATATCACGTATAGTATTTACTGAACGGTAAATAACATTATCTATGCTTTGTTATTTCCTAATATCTCAAATACATAAATTGATAAACAGTATTTTACACATACCGTACATAATTATCTGGCATAGTAAATACATTATAATTCATGTATAAATAAAAATGTTTAATGTGACGTAGTAATATTAAACATTAGTCGTATTTAAGAAAGAACTATTTTATTCATATAAAAGATTTCTTAACGTTTAATTCGTAAGCAACTCATAAATTTCAAATACTTGTTTCAACGAGCGCTCGGCTCTGCTTTGTCTGTATTCGTAATATAATTAATGAAACTCCACAAGCCGAATTCCTTTTCCTCATCCATTTTACTAATATTGTTATTTATGATTAAGTCATGACACGCATGTAAAGGCGGCTTCAAATGTAGGCCAACTTTATACATATTCGCTAAATAATTGGCTTACATTCATATAGATAATTCATGTACTAAATCATGTTACAAAAAGACACCTGAATAGCATACTCATATATAATCAACATTGATAGCCAATGTATTCGTTAATATTTGTTAATGTTGTCATGCATTAGCCAGTTTACCGTTTTTACATGTATAAGATACGAAGGCAAATTATTGATGTCTCTGCGTGGTATATCTTAAAAATCTAATGGTTATTCTACATAAATCGTAAACACAAAACGGAGTTCGCAACGTTTGTCGTGACAATCAATCAGAAGTAATCAATAGTACCACTGACGCTTCAAACTTGTTATCGCTACAAGTGTTGCAAACTACAATAAGTATTAAATTTGCTACTTAGAATAATCTTAACTTTTTGTACAATATTAATTCAGTAAATATAGACTCTATTCAATAAATTTAAATTATAATTGTATAATAAATAATGTTACTTATTACGCGAGGAACATAATATTAATTTGCATAATTTGCGTAAAATATTATGTATTATAAAAAAGTCAATATATAATATATGGCGTTTTTCACTCATGTGTGCAAGGAAAACAATAACGTGAAATTAACTCTTTTCATTATAAAGCAAACTTTAAGTTTCTAGAAAATCTGTTAATGCCTTTTAAATTATGACAAACTGTCAACATACGAACACGAGTTGTTTTAAATGTTAATATTTAATTATCTGCGTTTTTATTTTCGCTATCAAATATCATTAATTACAGAGATAAGAATTCCTATAAGACACAAGTCCTCATTTAAAGCGGTTAATACGAGGATTCGATTAGCTGTACCGGCACGTTTCTCGACGTCGGCAATTATGTCGTGCGATCTGGACATCGCGAAGTGTTTCGATTTTGCGACAGAACGTGTATTACAAGCTGGCAAGGTGAGTCACAACGCATGCATAAGCGGAAGGATTGCACAATTCTTAGAGAGATAAAATCGAATGATAAGTTGTACTATAAATTGTATATTATACGTATGTAAATAAATAAATGAAAGGATTTGTAAAGATATAACCTGAAATAATTCTTATAAGACACATTTATAAAACGGCATCTAGACATTTTGAATTAATTTCAAACAATGCACTTATAAAAAAACTTTTTTCCTTTGTATCACAGCTGCTCGGTCTATCGCATCACTCACTTTATCTCAGCTTGGCTAAAATCCCATTTTGCATTTTGGCACGTATGAATGTGTTGTGTATGTGGATGATAGTATGTTGTATGCGTGAGTTCTCGTGTGTTGTGTGTGTGCTCATGTAACGTCTTTTCTCTTGCTCTACTCACTACTTACATTTTTTAATTCTATCTACTGGTACGCTTTGTAGCAGCAATTTTGCTAGTGCCTCATTTAACTTGTGAGATTCTTACTACAGAATATATATTTAATATTTCACATGAATCTCCCGAAGATGATTAAAAAATGTCAATACGAATTTCACTCGCTCTCGATTTTTAGCCAAATATGTTTATATTAATCATTATTTTCTTAAATATTTTTCAACTTTCTTTCTTTTTGTATAATTATTAAAAAGACTTTCAAAATGTGTTTTGTCCAAAATTTGTAATTTTTAAACTAATTTCGTTTAATTAGTAAACGAGGAAGAAGGAAACTACGCACACAAGAAAATTACGCACTTTATAAAAAAGAACAATAATAAATCAATCAGTGAGATGTGAAATATTAAACAAAATTGCTTAACAATTGCTAAAAATATTACACAAATGCATTTTTTTATTTCTAGTTAAAAACACAATGCATTTCGAAATGTCTTATGTTTTTTCAGCATATAAATTAACGATGAAAAAATGTTTTTTGAACATTTCAGAGTAGCTTAATATAAGTCATTCAACTCACCACCACACTGAACACTACGCTACTATCATCTCTAATTTAAAAAATTCAATTTTGGATAAAACGCATTTTGAAAATCTACTCCTCAATTGACATAATTATATATTTTGCATTACTTATCTGTATAGATACTTAAATGTGGCCAGGACGAAAAAATTATATATAACAAAAATGAAGGAGACTTTGTAACCAATTATGATCAGCAAATTGAAAAACTATTTATTGATGGCTTAGCCAAAGAATTTCCCGATCACAGGTGAGTTGAAACATGAACTGCAATTGCATAAAAACAGGCAAACTGGAAATCATTAGATAATCAAACTTAAATTTAGTTTAATAACTAATCCTATAATATTTATCGTAAGATCGTATTATGTTCTATTAATATCTAAGGAATTAAATGTTTCGCTAAAATATCTCCTATTTCAGGATTATCGCGGAAGAAATGGTATTTGCAATGCAAAAAATGCCAGAATTGACAGATGCACCAACATGGTTCCTCGATCCAATTGACGGAACGATCAATTTTATGCATTCGCTCCCTTATTTCGGCATAAGCGTAGCTTTGATGATCTGCAAAGAGCTTGTTTTAGGCATTATCTACAATCCATCGAACTCAGAGTTCTACAGTGCAATAAAAGGCAAAGGCGCTTTTCTGAATGGAAAGCCGATTCACGTCTCTAACATCACTGGTAAGATGTAAAAGCGACACTATCAATATTATTTTTTTTTTAATATTAATTTTCGCTGAATTTTCAACAATTGTTAACGATTTTCAGAATACTACATTTTTCATTTTGCAATTATTCTATAGTTTGCACAATCTTTGCAATTCATCATAATTGATTTCCATTATGTGTCGTCCTATCTTGCAAACTCAGTACTAAATATATATTCGATTCAATAACAACTTATTTTTAACGGCAAGCTCTGGATTACCTATATTAATCACACAGTTGATTCATTCAGGGGGAAGAACCGTAATAATTTCGCGGCGGATGGGAAAAGCCACATCTGAGTGCACCTGTAAGAAATGTATTCTCATTGCTTCAAATATTTTGCAGATCTAAAACAAGCAATGCTAGGGATCGATGCGTCAGCTGTAAAATTCGTGAAAAAAGACAAAGATATGTATACAGCCAGGCTAACCGCTTTAATCGAGGCGACGCAGGTGTAAGTAAAACGTAATTATATATTCAAGATCAACAAATAATTGATGCACAGTTAACCTAAACTGGAAATTTTATAAATTCACAGAGAAATGATTAGGTGAAAAACTGCGCCTTGACCGAATAGTCTTTTTCACTTATATAATATAATATATTTTATCTAGTCGTAATGTATAGTCTGTGTTATATACCTATTATTTTGAAAAGATCCTTTCTATGCGTTTTCTATCTATTCAGTAACAGAAACATCGGATCAGCTGCACTGAGCATGGCGTACGTAGCGCAGGGTATCATAGATATCTTATACGACGATGTTTTCCTTAAACCTTGGGATGTAGCAGCAGGAACGCTGCTTATACGCGAAGCGGGTGGAACTGTTATTGACTCGAAAGGTACGATAACATAAACAATAAATTAATAAACACACAAATATCATATGGCTAAATTTCACAAATTTTCTGTCGCGATATAAATCACGAGAATATAGTAAAAAAAATTGTCTCTAAAAAATTTACCTAAAATATCTAATATTTAATTATAATCTAATATTTAATTTACTGTCTAGAAGAAGATAAATATTAACAAACTCAAGGTCAGAAAATTGACTTGTAAAGCAATTATAGATAAATATATTCATATTGAAATACTTTCATTATGATGAATAAAAAGACAATTATTTTGTACAAACAATTACAGAACACAGTCGGAAATTTTAGATTTAATTATCTGAATTATGCAGGTTTAAAATCAGATGATATCTTATAGAATAATACAAGACTTTAAATAAAAGTAGTAAAAGCAAAAGTTGATAATCAATTACATGCAAAACTAATTATTATAACATCTTTACAGGTGGCACTTATGATATTATGAAGGCCAAAACTATCGCAGCAGCAAACAACAGTCTAGCACAAGAGATATCTAAAATAATCATCGATACAGATTTAAAAAAGAAAAAGATTCAAAAGAACCTGACACAAGGCAAAAAATAACTCACGTTAATTCATTCAACAGCTGAGTGTATAAAACAGAAGGTGTGTTCCAACAACGAACGTATCTATCACGTAATACAAGGAAATTGTCTATAAAAATCAGTCTAAGGAAGTTTCTAAAGTCCTATTGACGCACTTACAGATGTCATACCTACGAGATTAATTCGAATATGTTAACCAATGTGTAATGTTGTAAAATAAGCATTAGCATAATTAGTTTTTTTTACTCTGGATCAATTTTCCTGTTATTATGAATAAAATTAAAATTAAAGCACTGTCAAATTTATTATAAAATTTTAACATTCATCATATATTAACGCGGTGCAAAGATATTGATATAATAATATGCATTTTACACACAATAACAAAATTTATTCCCCGAAATTGTATTTTATATTAAAACAATTATTTATTCTGTAACATTATCGATATTATTTTTCGTGTTAAAATTTTAGATTACACCGTTTAAATTATATTTTAGCACAATTTATGAGATTTAGTTAACACAATAATGTTAATATCGTATTTACTAATAGGTATATAAAATGTAATATTAGAAAAAAAGATTGCTTTGATTTGTTCTGTGCGCAATCATAAAATATTATTAAGATGTGTGAGTGTATAAATAGAATTACAATATTTATTCAGAAACTGGAAGGAGATAACTCATAGGCGGCCATAATAATAAATGATCATGTATGTTTTAGTAAAAAAAATTATAATACACGTATTCACACTTCTTTATTCTCACTAGTATGAAATATTTGCGGTAGATATTAATTTAAATAATTACCATGCAATTCATCATCAAATCGACATTTAAATTATTCTTCCATTAAGTAAAAGTTTTTAAAAATAATTTTTATCATTAGTATTCTCTACACATTTGATAAGTTTTCTGATTATTGAATTAATATTATTAATTATCAATTTTTAAAATAATCAGTTGATTACCATAATATATTAATCATATCATTATAAAAACATCACAATATTGAATTAAAAGTTACTACAGTTTAATAGGTTTCTGTATGCCGTCTGTCTTATAAGATGCTGACATTAGAAGATAAGGTAATAAAATTAATTATCAATGTCCTGAAAAAATCTTTCCCGATAATTTTTTTATTTATTGTATGCGATGAATATTCATGACTGCTGTCCGCGTGTTATAAACTGCCTTCAATTTCTTTCATTACAATGGATGGTCTCAATGTATATGATATTTTCGATATATATAATGTATATAATTTAAGTGATCCTTTAAATGCATCACTGAGTTCTCGCAATGTGCGCCTTTTTAAAGCCATTGCAATGTATAAATAAATAAGCATTATTATGTCACGATGTATGTCAAGAAAAAAAATGTAAAAAAAAAGTGTTGATTCCAATAAACATCAATGTTGGATTTTGATTTAGTTCTTGATAAAAGATAAATACATTTCAATATTTTAATTAGAATGAAAAATATTTGCAAAAGCGTATTGAAGCAAATAGAAACATAGATGTAGGCAGAATAAAGATCGAGCCAATCATTAGGGAACATTAAGTACTTGCGCAACACAAATATGTAAGTTGCAAGCAGAAAATCTTATAGACAATAAACATAGGAAATAATAGAAAAATCCCGAATCAGAAAAATATTGTAAAATAATAATAAAATTCTAGAGATAATTCTCAATAATATCAACTTAGAAAATATTTATATAATCAATAACGTTGTATATTAATAAGCAAAAGAATTAGCATAATTATAGATCAAGTCTCTCAAAAGATTCTGTTTTCAAACAATATTTCAGATTTTCTAGAAATACATATTTTTTATTAGAGTAATTCTTATTTCTCTAGTAAACTCAGAATAATCACAAACATTAATGAAATAAATATACATTGTAGAACAAATATAAATTTAAGTAAGTTTAAGCTATAGGATATGCAAAAAGTAAGCAATAAGCAAATTGGTCGAACAATAGACTGTAAAGCCAGTAGTTCAATGTTACGATTTCCTTATGGTTTACGTCTTACTGTCTTACATTTTTGTATGTGCCATGGGCACTTTATGTCTTGTGAATTATTACAAATATTTTATGATTGAGTCGAGTAACACAATCAAAAATAGACTGAATTTAAACTTTATATTATAATTTATGTCTAATCACTAAACCACTCAAGGACGCAAAACTTGCAACACCTGCAGTTCCTATCGTGGAAATTAACGCAAAATTTGCATACACTGTTAGAAATGTAACTACGAGCTTCTTTTACACGTGAAGCTCGTGATTATGAACGAAATTAAAAGTAATAAATGATTTAACTGAAAATTAAGTTACAGTAGTATACTTTTTAGTTATAAATACATTAAATTTAATGTAATGTCATGAAATTAAATTCAAATAGTGTAACTTAAAAGTTAATAAAATTTAAGAACATTTCTAACAGTGTATCTTATTACGACTTTATATCGCTATCATCGCAAGTGAATCACGCACACACAATAGCTGTCGTACTATTTGAGATATCTCCCGAATCACTGCGAAGGATAGTATTATTAAAAATTCGTAATTTTTTAAATCGTTTAGAAAGAGGCTTTAAACATCGTATGGGAAATAAACCAGCGAGATAGCGTTGATCATTCCGTTCTCTTTATAAAACTATCGCGTCGTCGGGAGGCATCTCACATCATTGTGGTGAATGGCAGGTGCGTGCAATTAAGTACATCTCAGACGGAATATAAAATCAAGGTCTATTTTAGAATGGCATTATTGTTATCTCATAAAGCAGACAAGATGGTATAGTCTTGAATAGATATCTTCAAATCTCAAAATACATTATTTATATCCAGTTTTATTAGCTCATCATTATAAACATCAACGTGACATGTTAATTAGAGCATTTAGATAACAATACCGCAAAAATATTATATGCGTATAACGAATAAGCCAATTAGTATAGTAATAAGTAATTTCCATTTATCAAACATTGTCTTCTGTCGACGAATAGCAGCAGTTAAAAATTTATAATCTTTAAAGGACTTCTCGAGGAGTTAAAGCTCTCGAGGTAAAAACTTGATAGAATACGCCGATCGTTGTTCTCGGATCATACCTCCTGCTGCAGGCGCGACCGATTCGAGTGAAAAAGCACGAGGTGCAGACACGGACAACACAGTGCTAGCTCGCGCCTTTTGCCGACGAGGTCGAAACAGACGCACGTTTGCGCGTTCACCAGGTTGTACGGAAATGGCACGGTACGCCGAGGACGTGTACTATGAAACTGCTATTAAACTGACGCGCGAGGCTGCCCAGGTGAGCATATATCGCAAGAATCTCGTCTTCGATGAGAATAAATATTCCACGTGGTCCTCGAACAAAGCATCAATGAACTGAATGAATTAAAAATATGTATTAAGCGATATCATTGAGATGATCGCTTGTCAACCGGTATGATATTGAGAAAACATTACTTTATATATGCTTCCATAGTAATTTACATATTTGAGGATGACGCGAACGGAAAGAATGTGACATTCTTATAATGTCAGATGTGAAATCTTCTATCAGATAATTTTAAGAGCCGAGTGTGTTACATGTCATAAAGAGATATCTATATCTAAAACATTTTACGAATTTACGCTATTTGTCATCCTGTTCTTTCGTCATCTCCGCAACATTATAATAAAACTTCTATAAAATTAGAAATCAATTCCTAGAAAGATATCAGAAGCGACGTAGTTATATATGGATAAAATATCTAATAAAATAATAGTTATATTTGTAAATAATAAATCTTGACGTTAGTTTTTATGAATTTTTATTCATTCTGCGCGCGAGCGGCAAAATTAATCAATTAAAATTAATTTACACCGTACAATTTTATCAAAAACAGTAAATATCAAAGGTTATTTAATTAGCAATTATTTGTCACGTCTCAAAAATTGAATTAAAGAAAATAAAGGAACCATCTTAATGACGTCTATTAGCGATAAATTCAATAATTCTTTCAAATTTTCTAACGATTCGAGCGATAAACAAATCTATCCTGCGCTGTGAATAATTTTTCCGTACTCAAACAGGAAAAATCAAATTCGCCGTGCAAATTGTGAAATACCATAAATCAAGCGATCTGTAGCATAAATCTTTACACAATCATACGCATCTTTAGTATAAATTGTACATTTTCAAAATATGGAAAAAGCATTTATCTCACGAATATAATAATTGTTTTATCTCATTCTTTTATCGTTTTTGTTTATCTTAGTCTTTATGTTTTATTTGTGTATCCGACGATCTTTCAATGATTTTATAATACGTATTAAATACTAAGTATTGCTTAAGATTCTGCGAGATTCTATCAACGGTTTGAAACATATCCAAGAGAAATTGGGCGATTGGGACCTCGTCACCGAGTACGACCGACAGATAGAGGATATAATAATCGGCGGACTCAAACGAACATTTTCAAACCATAGGTAGTAGACACTTCTCAAACAACACCGTATCATTTGACAAAAAGCAAATAATACACGAGTTCGGAAAATTAATCCAACTATATGATCAGATTTATCGCAGAAGAATCGACTGGTAAAGACCTACCAGAATTAACTGACGCTCCAACGTGGATCATAGATCCCATCGATGGAACCACCAATTTCATCCATGGATTTCCGCACACATGTGTGGTCATCGGTTTGGCCGTTAAAAAAGAAATGGTCCTTGGTATTGTGTACAACCCAATTCTCGAGCAGCTATTTACAGCTAGAAAAGGACGAGGCGCGTTTTTGAACGGAAAACCGATTCAGGTGTCTAAAATACAAGGTAACAAACTAATCTCTGTAATTTAATTTGATAAGATATGCGATGTGGACAAAATGTCAAGAACGTGGAGGATGACATATGATACTTTGCTGCGCAGTAATAGAATTTGCTCTAACCAGTTCCACATATCTAAAGATCTCAGAATAAAAGAGATAATGTAATAATTTTGTATTAATATTGAAAGTAGGACAATCAACGTCCTCCTGCTGTTAAGAAAATATAAAAGATATATAGATGTATCGTATCTCAGGTTATTCGCCTCTTTACCTTCAAGTTAAAGAATGACATATATTATAGATCGACTCTTGCTAACAGTTGCATTGCAACACGCTAATTGTAAGTGCGTGGTGGTAATGATTTAGAGAAATCATAACTACACTTTAGAAATACATCACAAGGATAAAATTAGAAAGCGTCATTG